TTCAAATGGTGGCCTTATTTTTCTGTTTCGTTCAGCCGTTTAGGCGTTAAACAGTTTTCAGATTTTCCCCTAGATTTGGCAGCCCCAATCTGGGCTGAATGTGTGCTTACTAACGTTACATGGTGTAGAACACATCAAACGGCATTTATGAGTCATGGCTGTTGATGATGCTGTCCACAGCAGAGGTGGAGATATCGGGGGGGGGGGGGAGATGTCAGGACCCCCTTGAAAACGAATTACTGCTATTTAAGTCAATGGTACTGCATCCAGCCCTGATCAGGGCTGGATGAAGTGGATCAGATGAAGGCTGGATCAGAGTGAATACCCTGGATCAGGGTATTTACTCAATATACCCTGATCCAGCCCGCCTCCATCTGCCCGGCCTGGACCCCCCCCCCTTAAATTTTGACATCTCCACCCCTGGTCCACAGTAACCTAGATCAGTGATCCCTTTTACATCATAGCTATAAATAATCATGACTATGAATTGCACACAAGTCATGTCAATAACATATTGCTCATGCTCACCCGTTAATGCTCCATCCACTTATCTTCTGAGAAGTGTTCAATGTTCACCTTCCGAAAACTGCTGCTTCTAACCTTGCACTGCACTGCACAACGGATGGTACAGTTAAAGGTAGTTTGCCACCTTTGAAAGATTTCCCATTTTATTTTTCCTAGGATAAGGAGCTTCTGTTTTTACCTAATATCGCAAAAAATCGAAAATGGGCCTGGAATAGTGCCTTTTTCGCCTAAAAGTTTATCGGTTTTTCGATATGTATATCAACTGTAGTGGGCTGACCTGCAAACAGGCGTTGGCAACAATCGCGAGTGCGGCGCACATGTGACAATAAGCAAAGGTCATTATAGAGTTACGACGTACGGGAATGAGTTATCAGCTGTCTAATCGTAGACAACACAATGTCGAGCCTTAAACTGTAAGCCTGTATTGGTATTATTTCTTTTATTTGGCTGGCGAACATTATTTATGGTTTGAAATATGATTTTATGTAAAATAATTGATATGAAAAAGCCGTCTCTTAAGTTATGACCCCATTTCACCACACGCAAGTGGCAGAAATGACAATGATCAGCTGACGCATTTTTCTTGGCCGAAGTCAGAGCACGCGGCCCGACGCACCACCACCGCACCACAAAGTATGAGCAGAAGCCGCGCCCAAAGCCAGGGCCCCGGTAACGTGAGGTAGCCGAGTCGCGGCAGCGTGCGCTGACCCAAGCCGGGGCCGCAGCTTTGGGCGCGGTCTACCGCATCCCCGCGGGCAGCCCCGGGCTATCACATGACACCGGGAGGACGCGCGGCCCCGGCTTGGGTCAGCGCACGCTGCCCCGACTCGGCTACCTCACGTTACCGGGGCCCCGGCTTTTGGGCGCGGTCTACCGCACCACCAACAGGCGTGTTCGAAACCGCAGGAGATGATGATGAACGGGTTTATCGAAACTTGATTGGATGAGCATATCGGTAATAGCGATTTCAGTGTGTGCGTTTATTGTTCATAGTGGTGTGAAATGTGGTTGGGGTACGACCGACAACCCGTCGGGGCGAATTTCGCCCTGGGGTACTCAAAATTTGAAGAATTTAAGACGTTTCCATGAGTTTTGAAGATATGGATAAGTTCTAAAAATCTGGTTCTCCTTATCTGGGCCATTAACTCCATACGGTCCAGGAAAGCTGGCACACTACCTTTAAGCATCTTGTTGAGCAGCTTTCGTCGAGTAACTTTAACATGTCTTTGCCTGTCACATTCAGCCGCCATGAAGATGACCACTGCTACTGACTGAATTTTGTGCCACAAAAAAAAAAAACGAGAAAATAGACCATGCCATTAGGTCATGTTCTGTGTTCATCAATCACTGAACCTGCAACAAGAAGTTCAGTGCTGTCAAAACATGGAACAGGTCAAGGCAGTATAACGGGTTGTCGGGTGTGGGGGGGGGGGGGGGCACGGGCTGGCACATACCCTGTAAGCACCTGAGAAGCGACCCCCGCCGAAGTTAGTTGGTAGCACTGCTGCTCCACGGCGTACATTTCCTACCAGCCCATAGGGTTTACATGTTAAATGGCCTGTTTTCGGCGAGCGATATCTCGGTCAACCTTTGAAGGAATCCATCGTTCTTAGTCTCAAATGATAGATCGATGAATTTTCTTTCGGCAATTCCTCTACCATTTTTCACGAAACCCAGCCGATCTTCTACGGCGTACAGGGTAAAGTTTTCTCTGCACGCCAGCACCGGCGATCCGCCTCTCCGATCGTCGGCGCGCGGTCCTCGGTAGCGCAGTCGGTAGCGTATCGGGCTACGGATCCGAGGGTCGTGAGTTCGAATCCTGGGAGCGCCGCGTGATTTTGGCTAGAATTGAATGATGTAGATTCCTTAATGTTTGCATAATCAATTAGTAATAGCTACTTGAATGTATCTGCCCACTAATCGGCCCCTAAAACCTGTTATTTAAGAAATTTAAGAAATTAATGTCACGTGCGCGTAATGACTGCCAACCATAAGCGCTACCAGATTCTAGTTTGAACTAACTTTTTGCTAGTCCCGACCACATATAGTAGGTTTTCTAGTAGTTATACTAGAAATTCCTACTAAAGTTCGTTCAACCCTTCACTCAGTATACCCTGCCTGAGAAGCACCTCCCAAGATCATACCAAGATCATCTATAGAAGGTACAGTCACTCCCCCGTCGACCAATCAGAGACAGATCCTGTGTGACGTCACCTCTGATGCTCGCAAGGGGTACTCTATTCCTTTACAACGTTAAAATGACTAACTTCATTTGAAGATCATTGATGCCACTTACCACTTAACGCTCAACCGTTGCGTCAACCAAAACCCAACTAATTTTCTAGCTATAAAAAAGAGCAGCAATATGCTACGAAATGACCAGTTTTGAAGATATAGACGATTTAAAAACCCTCTGCAGTTGCAGGAAAGCAACGTCAAATCTCATCGAGCTTAAATTTTTACTATGAATAAATCATTTTACTTTTAGTTTTTCAATATAGTATCGATTTAATTAATAACTTTTTACAATATTTGTATTATTTGTAACTTTATTTCAAAATTATATTTTCAAAAATGGCAGCTGTTGGCAAGTAGCTTAGAAGCGATTGTGGCGCACCGCGCCATTAATGTTCTAAGTCCCCCTTATGATGTCATCAAAAGTGGAGTGACATGGGCCTGGATCATACCACTCAAAAGCAGTGGACAAATCTTGACTGCAAAGCATGGTGGATGTGTTCCAGGGTTGTGTACTTTGTTCATACTTTATATGATATGCACATGGTTCAAGGTAGATGGTAACAGCCAGGGTTTCGGAGACGGAGTCGGAGTCGCCCAGAGTTGTGGCAAGCAGCCAGCATAAGGTCGGAGTCGGTCAAGCTGCCTCGACTCAGACTCCGGAAAATAACTAGGATCTATGACATCACTTTTCAGTTTTTATACCAGTTCCCCGCGGTAGGGTTCGCTTCCGACGATAAAAATTGCACACACCTTGGTTTTGTTCTGAATGACAAACATTGGATCTTACAAGTTTCAAGTTATATCATAATTTAGGGGAGAGTGGTGCAGGAGGCCCCCCCCCTTAAGCTCAGTTGCTATTCTTAGACAACTGATAATATTTAAGAGCTAACGTGTGCATGCGCTGTGAGCATGCATCATTTTCCCATACATATTTGCATTCAAAATGAATCTAGGGGGTACATAAACCGTAAACTTTAACATTTTTGAAAAAGTTGCAAAAGGGCCTCTTACACTATGGGTATGGTAAGACGCCCCCCCCCTCGGGCGTTTTACAAGTCAAGTCGACTTGTAAAAGACGCTTTGCGAACACAGCTGCAAGGCCTTATATTTCGAAAAGCTAAGCAAATACGGTGTTATCGAAACCAATAACACTTCCAAAGCGCTCGAACAATGCGAAAACTAGCACAACCAAACGCTGATGACCAACGAAAATTGTACCTATTACCTCTAAGAAATGAAACAGAAAAAAAGAAACAAAAACAAACTCCTTGAAAAAAGAATGCCACGCCTGCCGCAGGTGCAGGCGTTTTAGCATCGGGGGCGTTTTCATCGGGGGCGTTTTATCATCCTCGAAGGGAGAGCCACTTAAAAAAATGCAGTGTTTTAACGTCACAATATTTATGGTTTATGAGACATTTGCAGCGCACCAGAACATGGTCTATTCTGAAGCTAACATGTGACAATTTCGATGAGATAAGATTGCATTTGATAGCCATTGTTTTTCAGATATATAAGGGTAATAAAGATGCATATATCTAGCAAGTAAAGGGGCAAAAACAGAAACAGGCTTACCAAAAGTCGCTGCGACGCACCTGATACCTCAGGTTTCGTGAGTTGTTGTTTCAAGAGGGCTTCTGTATTACAAGAACATTTAAAAAATAAATGACATTATAGGTTTGGTAAAAAAAGCGATGGGGCCTCTTACCGACCCTGGGCGTCTTACACGGATCTCCCCTAGTATCCAAGTATTTTGCATGCGCGTTATAACTTCCACTATCTGAAGTATTTGATGAGTCAAAGGCTAAATAACCGTTTTCAAGACGGCCATCTGGTACACATTTGGTGCACATCTGGTGCAGATTAGGTGCAGCTTTTGTCAAATTAGGTTCAGCCTGTTTCTTAGTAGCTATCAGCTAGGGTTGCACTTTTTGCTTATATGCCTACTTTGTCATATTATCAGAGAGCATCATCGATTAAAACACTGAAGCAAATTCACAAAATGAAGATATTTGCTGTAAGATATTAGGTGCAGATTTGGTCAAATTAGGTGCCTTCGCCGGATAGCCCGTCGTGAAAACAGCTAATGACAACTGAATTTTTACTTTCTTCGTTAATGCTCCGAAAAGTATCAACACAGGAATGACCGACATGATGGCGATGCTCGTGTACGTGATATCGCCGCCTCTCGCGCTTCTGTTGTTGTTGTGTTGTCCCTCCAGGCTCTGGTGAGCTGTAGCCTAACGGCTCTGGAGGTACCTGGCGACCCTCGCCAGGGCCGCCACCGCGTCGTCCCGTCGCACGTCGCTCAGGCTCGGGAAGATGGTGCCGAAGATGCGGAGCCGGGCGTTCATCAGCGCCGGGCACCGCAGGAGGACATGGTCCGGGGTGTCGGCCTCTTCGCCGCAGGCGCGGCACCATCCTGCCCGGCATCCCCGATCACTGCACTGGGCGCACTCCGGCGATGGGTGCCGCCCGATTCTATGCAGGTTCTGGGCTGACCCGGACCAGTGTCCTGCTCGTAGTTGGTGGGTCTCCACTGCGTCCAGCCTGTTGGATCCACGAACCGGCGGCGGGGGACGCCCCTCCATCAGCGTGCGGTACCAGCCAGGAGGCCACTGGCTGGTGGTACGGGCACGCGCGAGTCTCGCCGCAGCTCGGTAGACCGTGGTCACGTCAACAGGGACGTCTTCTTGGGGGAGAGTTGAGGCGTCTTTGGGGAGTTGGTCCGCGCGCTCATTCCCCGGGATTCCGCAGTGGGACGGTATCCACTGTAGGAGGACCTGGCGACCGCTCGACGACAGCTCCAGCAGGCTGTCCCAGATCTCAATTGCGAGGGGCGATGACTGCGCAGACGGTCCCTCCTGCAGCCTTCGGAGAGCCGCTTGAGAGTCTGTGCAGACCACCACTGGATCCTCTGTGTGCGCCGGGTGCTGTCGCAGGTACTCGAGTGCTGCGTTGAGGGCTACGAGCTCCGCCCTGTAGCTCGAGCAGAGTTTTCCGGCAGCGACCCGCAGCTCCCGGGTCTCGCCGTCCGGCAGCTCGAGCAGAGCTCCAGCACCTCCGCTGGCGACTCCTCCGTCGGCCGCGCCGTCCGTCCATACCCACGTGGCGCATTGTGGGAGGCCGCTCAGGTGGAGAGTGGCTACCTCCAGCTTCGTCTGGGCAGATGCTGCTCTCGGCGGGAGGCCGGGCCCGACGTCCAGGCGGAAGGTCACGCCGTTCGTGGTCACCCATGGGGGTTGCCGGCTAGGGAGGATGGGCTCGATCGGCGACGACACGCCAGCCGCCTCCCAAACCTCCGTGCCCACTTGTCTCCAACCGGTGACTGAGGACAGGCGCGCCGGCACCACCTCGTCGGCGACGGTGCGGAGCGGGTCCTCGCGCGGCAGGGCTCTCGCCTTGGCCAGGAAGCGGGCCGCCAGCGAGAGACGCCGCGCCGAGACCGGGGGCATACCGGCTTCCGCCAGCAGCGCGTGGGTCCGTGTTGAGACGGGGCAGCCCGTGATCACGCGCGCGGCCGCCCGCACTTCACGTTCGAGGATCTCGACGTGGGAAGCGGGCGTGGCAGGCAGCCAGGCCGCAGCAGCATGTTCTTGGGGGCCCCTGACGTATCCATTGGCTACCGCTCGAAGTTGCTGTTCTCGGAGGCCCCAGTCACGCCCAGTTAGCCTCTTGAGCTGGGCTATCCGGGGACGAGTCTTCTGTCGCAGATTTCTGCAGTGCGCCCCGAAGTGGAGGGTGCGGTCTAGCGTAACTCCAAGGAGTTTCAGCTGGGCGCCCGCGGCCACGGTCTCCCCTGCTACCTTGATGTAGCAGTCGACTGCGTCCTTGGGGGCTTGAGAGAGGACCAGCACCTGAGTTTTTTCGCTCGCCACCCTCATCTTCGAGGCGAGGGCCCACTGCACCAGAACATCAGCCGCTTGCTGGGCTCTCCGCCGTGCGACCAGGATGGTGTTGCCAGAGCATAGCGTCGCCGTGTCGTCGGCGTACATGTACGGCGTCGTGCCTGGGATCTTCTTCAGGGCGTCTGCCGGTGGCGCCGCCCATAACAGGAACAGGATCGGCGCCAACACGGTTCCCTGTGGCAGACCTGCTCTGAAGATTCGCTCGCGGCTCTTGGTGCCATTAACTTCTGTGTGAGCTCGGCGGTCGCGGAGGAAGCTCCAGATCCAGGTGATGAGGCAGAGTGGTATGCCTTGTTGCAACAGTCGGACGCGGAGTAGCCGATGATTCACCGTGTCGTAGGCTCGGGAGAAGTCGAACGCCGTCAGGACGTAGCGTTGGGCCGTCTCGCCGTCCGCTGGCTGCTTCTTACGCGATCGCGGGCGCTGCCATCCGTCCTGAACCTGCTGCAACAGTCGCCCCAGGCTGTCCTCCACGGAGCGGCCCTCACGGAAGCCCACCTGTTCGGGTGGGATTAGGTTCCGGGCCGCTACCACGTGGTTCAATCTGCTGACTAGGCGTTCGACCAGCTTGGAGACGTGACTGGTGAGCGCGATCGGTCGGTATGAGGAGATGAGGCGCTTGTCCTTCCCGGCCTTTGGGATAGGGCAGATTGTGGCCTGGCGCCACTCACGTGGGACGGCTCCTTCTTGCCAGCTGCTGTTGATGGCGTGCAGGAGTTCCCGTCGCGCGGTAGGGCCCAGGTGGAGGAGCATCTCAGCCGTGATGCCGTCGGGACCGGGTGTCTTCCTCAACTTGAGAGAGTTCAGCTGCCGGACCAGTTCGTCCATGCTGAAGGCTCCGCAGCATCCCACACGGGCGCCGTCACACTCTCGGCACGTGGACGGGGTGAGGGCCTTCCTCTGCTGCTTCGCCAGGCGGTCGACCTTGGGAGCCCTTACTTGGCGAGAGACCCAGGCGTATGTTTGACAGAAGGCGTCGGCCTTGTCGCCGTCCTTGACTAGGAGGCGTCCTCCGTGTTCCATAGCCTGGCCGTCTCTGTGGTCGTCGTCGGTCGCACCTTCCCATCGTTTGAGGATCTTCGACGCTCGGCCGATGCTGTTGGGCTTGTTCAGCTCCTCGGATACCATCTGGTGGAATCGTTGGCGGGAGACTCTCGCCTCCACCTCCGCCGCTCGTCGTCTGGTTTCAACATAGTGCTGGATCGTCTCGGGGACTGCGGGGTCCACTCGGGCCTGTGCTGAGCGGCGGTCCGCGATGGCCTCCTCCAGCTCTCCGGGTCTGTAGCCCAGGGCTTCGGATCAGCGCGCGCCCCACAGGGATGTGTCGCGCGCTGGCTTTCTGTAGAGCCGCAGTGAAGCGCGTGCACAGCTGCTGTGCTGTGGCGGTCTCGCGCTTCTCGGCGGGTTTCCACGCTGGCCGCTGACCTCTTGTCTTGTGGATTCAGCTGCGGCCACGTGGGAGAAATGGTGACTGCATGGAGGAAACCGGAGAGAAGGAGCGTTCTCCCCGTGCACGTAGACCTAGCACTTGGCGTCATATCACGCAAAATTTTGGCGGCCGCCATTGCCCTTCGTATCAGACCCGGAGTTGGAGTCGAACAGCGCTACCACGACTCCGAAACCCTGGTAACAGCGCTCGTCAGTCTGCCATCAGGAATTATCGGAAAACATTTACATGGGTTGACCAGAAATTACTATTCCTATCCACCGAAATATCCCTTTAGCATTATCCTAGCCGTGCAGGAAACATTGCAGGTGATCTTTCCTGCACTGGCTTCCGGCACGGGTTGATGATTGATGAACCTACAGTTCTTACGATAAAATACTTTACAAAAGGTGATGTTAACCATGAAATTGTGAGTTTGTGAGTGGATAGCGAAACGACGTATAGGAAATATCTTAACCATCCAGGCGGGGGGGGGGGGGGGGGAGAGGGGGCATTTTCTTGCCCCCCCCTTTAGTTTTTTTCGATATATTTCGAGAACCGCCGCGCCGATTGTCACCAAACTTTCAGTACCCTCCCGTGAATAGCTATTGCACATTGTGACCAAAAAAATCCAAAGGCTATGATAGGTTGGCCGCTAATGACGTCAGAGTGACGTCATTTTTTGCCATTTTCGACCTAAAAAAAGGTTTCGCGGGAAGAGCTGTCAGGCCTACAGCTTTAGAGATACAAAAAAAAATGTTTCAGATATAAGAGGTGAAAAATTAGGAGGGCTACAAAACTGCTATCTCGGATTTTTGAAATTTTTGGATTTTGACCCTCAAAAATCAAAAAATAATTTAATTTGGTTTAGAATATAATAGCCGAAAAATTCAAAGTTTTTTGAATTTCTGAAAACCGGAATATATGTGATAGTCCCTACCACGTTCTACCTATAACCAAATTTGAGATGGATACCTCTTTTTTGGCCAAGTTATAGCGAAAAACTTGAAAATTGATGACGTCAATTTTTCAAACTCAATTTTTAGCAATTCTAGACCCCGTAGCGCAAAACAAAGACCACCATTAGACTCTCCGTGACGAGCTGCATCGAATCAATACGCATTTTATGCAAAAATATCACAATTTTGAAATTTGACCTTTTTTGACCTGACCTCCACCAGAAAGTGACCTAAACCGTACTTGATGGTCTTATAACCAACACCATTGAGTTGGAAATGAAAAACTGGCCATAAAACATGCATCGCACAACCTTAGTAAAGTTGGGTTCATGTGGTGACCCTTGGTGACCTGACCTGTGACCTGACCTGGTATGACCAGTGACCTCTAATAGCAACATATGTACTAGACAACTGACGCCCTATCGCTGATTTTCGACAAAATGCGTTTTACTCGGTGTTATAGCGCCTTTCCCCTGTGAACGGTGAAACGTTTTATCTTTGACCTGACCTGTGACGTCATCGGTGACCCCGAGGTCAATGAAATTTAGTTTCCTTTAACAAATTTGACAGGGCTATCGAACGCCGTTTGAATTTTCCGGATCCGTTCAGTAGTTTCGGAGATACGGGGGGGGGGCAAAAAATGCCCCTCCCCCACCGCGCGGAAGGTGACCGGGAGGCCCACCGCCTGCCGGGTTAATGAACTTGCTCTGGAAGAAAAATGGAAACCTGTCTTTAAAAAAAAAAAATCGGTATCGGTAAAGCTGGCGTCACCGTCGTCTTCCCGCCAAGGTAAGCCATAACGACCAAGGTCACGTTTGTCAAACTAGTGGCAGCTTCATTGGTACTCCGCTGCGATTGTGCTAACTTACTGCAAAGGGGCACTAACCTGCTGCAATAGTATGAAAAGTTAATGATACCAGACTAACAAATAAACAAAGGTTGCATACGGGTGTCGAATGTCGATAGAGATCGCCATGGCGGGTGCTCTTGATCCCTGAATTTTGGGCCTGCATGCCATCTGCTCCACCGATGAAGGGGCGTTGGCTTTTTACCGAGCTCAGGGTCTCATTCCCACCCCACAAGCACGTGCCCCCAATCCCCGAATGAAGTTTCTGGGGAGTCTACGGAGCGCTTGATTTATTTATTTATTTACCAAGATCGTCGACGGGATTCCCATTGAAAGACAAAGTCAATTCATAAAATCAAACACGCATACAGCACAAACCTACTCGAAAAAACACACACGCACAGTAAAGCACAGTAAAACCGTACATATAGATATACAAGAATGACGATGATGATTAAAAGTGGAACAAAAGTAAAAGGTAAAAGCTGAATGACTAGTCCGGATACGGCAGAGTTGCAATTGATTCACATGAGCACATGATCATAATGAAGCAGCGTATAGTTTAACAGAACGACGAAAATGATAGAAGCTACTGTTGAACATGTCTACAGTAGGATGTCTGTCCAGAAAACGGTTCAGTTGTCTTGGCAGCCTACCAAACAGTCCTTCCTTGACAGTGCTCACTCGAGCGAATGGTACATTCAGCAGTACACTAGTTTGCTGCCTGGTTACACGACCGGGTACACAGAGTGAGAATGACTGCAGTAAAAACGATGATGAGATTCCACCTTTAAAAATGTTACGGATAAACATCACATCATGCTGAGTTCTCCGGGCAGCTACAGATACAAGGTTAACCCTCGCCGGACCTATTGGTTTTCTACATACGCGCCGGCCGAGGGGGGGGGGGGGGCGGGTACGACCCCCCCTCGCCGTTTCGCCCCTGGTGGAGCTAGCGCGTCGCGGAATAAACGAGCGTGTGCGCCGTTACGAGACGCAGAGATTGCTACCCGATTTTAAGGTCCTAGGTCAACCGGTGACCTCTGAGGTCAGGTCAAGTGCCCCAGGGTACGGCTCAGTTTTTGGTGAATAACTTCGCAAAAACGGCCGCAGAGCCGCGATTTTGGCAGCATCGTGTTCGCCTCGCTCAGGCGCGTCGAATGATATACTTTTTGTCCGGGTCAGGTCAACTTGGGGTGTTGACCTCAGGTCAAGGTCAGGTCAGCACCCCCAGGTCACGAAGTTGGTCGAAAGAGGTCATGTCGCCAGTCGCATATCATTCGATTCGGCAGGTCTTCCTGAGTCCATTGGTGGCTTTCTCGACTCGCTAGCTCAATTTATCAAGAGTTATTGAGGAAAAACTAATATGACCTTGATGACGTCATAAATGACGTCACGCAAGGTCCACATTGCAAAAGTGACGCATCTAACCTTGCAAGGAGTGCATCAAATCACGATTCTGTGTGCTTGAGATAGTTGGAGATCGTTCCCGGCGCCAGAATAGCAGTTTTCATTTTTCCCCATTGACTTATAATGGTGAGGTCACGAAAATGACCTGACCTCATATGACCTTTAGGAAAAATCCGAGATATACAAGTTGTGAGACTCATAATGGATACTAGATCCTGCAAGTTTCATTTCCCTGTGACATCTCCTCTGGCAGTGAGGGCGTTGCGAAGTTGCGACATCTGAAGACCGTGCAGAGGTTCACTTATGACGTCATATGTCAGTGACCTGACCTGACCCAAAAATGCGGTTGGTGTCAAAAACTGCGGCTTGGATCAAAGGTCAGGTATGCCAAGTTTGAGCTCTCTATCGCCAGCGTGTTCGGAGCTATCGCGAAAAAAACCCTATGGGGGGGCGGCACCCCCCTCGGCCGGCGAGGGTTAAATCACCAAGAATCAGGGCAACGGACAGCTGTTCTACATCGCCACAACCATGACCAAAAAAAAATATTATTTTTAGCATCTTATGATACTTGCTGTCCTACTTTCACTTAGTTGTTTTCCTCAAACTCTGCATGTGAAATTCGTCTATCAATGATTTTATTCACAATTCACTCGTGCATTCCACTCTTCACGTGGGCATGTGTTTCACTGGGTTGCATGGTGTGATTTCTTCACTTGTCTAACTGACTTTAAGGGCTACTTGCCAACTGCGCTATTTTTTCTTCATTATGCCACTATGCCACTTGTGGGATGTCTGCTGTATATGGTTATGATCCTCATTTGGATTCTAGCCATGCATTGCATCCATCTAACGGGGACATGGTGCACCTACTGTGTTGGTAATGATCGGCCTGTACTAGTATTTTCACCGTCAATTTGTGAATGCAGAAATCATCTGAGAAAGCTTTTTTTTCTAATCAAGTTTCAGTCTTCGCCAGTTGCTCCGCATACCACCTTTCACTTATGCATGCACTTCACTGGACAGGATTGTGATTTCTTCTCCTTTCGACTGATTTGATGGGCAGCTTACCAACTGTGCTATTTCTTTCAGTGCACCTGTGAACATGCTTTAATTGTTTACTCACTTAAAATTAGATGAGTAATGCAAGCAAATCTATCTTAGCATTTACTTTAATATTTACTGTTCTATTAAGCCGCTTTTTGTGTTGACATCTTGCTCTACCATGCCATCGCTTATGGTCATTTTAAACTTACATAAAGTTAAAAACAAATAAAGACAAAGTACATGCTATGTAAACAATACTCGATGATTTGTAAGAAACTGCTGCACGCGTATATATCGACTTTCATGCTTTCATGTTCCCAGCCTACGACTTCGAAGTGCCTGGCGGCATTAACACCTTGGAGCTGTCTACGGAGGATACTCGCATCCGATGATGAAGAGGACGAGACTTCGGCCATCACAGTCGTCCGTCCGATGCCCACGGCCACCGTCGGCTCCAGCCGGCCGGCGCCCCGGAAGGAGCCGCAGACGGCACGCCCCGGGCCGTCAGCCACCATCCTAGAGTGTGCCGCCGTTGGCATCGAAGTGCCACGGCCATCTGCTGCTGCGCTGCTGGCCGAGGCGGACAAGCGCCGCACCACAGCGCTCCAACTGAACACCCTGTTACACTTGCCTCTCGAGATACTTTCCTCAGCATGAGCGCGTTATACTGTACTACAAAGCGGTCGCAGCTGTAAATCAGGCACTGGACCAGTAAAGAATTGCAGTCTTGGGGTTCTGCTTTGAGTTTCTGGGAAAGATGTGCCATAAAGCACGTCACTTACTAGTTCCTTAACACTTAAAGCAAAGATGCCACTTCTAACATGGAGTTTTGAACTGAAATAGCAGTTATGTAGCTTGAACTGAGACTAGCACAAATCAGGGGCTTACACTGCCCAACAATTACCCTAGGCGAATGCTGCCGCTGTTGATCGAACATGTGGCTCCAGGGACGACCGACATATCTGACGAATGGGCTGCGTACATGTACTCCCTACACACGCTGCCCCGCCCGCTCCCCTCCCTCTCTTCCTTCACCCCCCCCCCCCCCCCCCCGGGGTCGTGTCACGAAGGTTCGGGCTTACGCTACTACCGGCCGCTGCGCAGCTGTCACCTAGCGCTTGGGAATATGTGGTCTGGTGCGGATTCAGCCAACTACCGGCTCGCGACACCAGCGCCACGTAGTGGCGACGGTACATTCTTTTTAGACATACTGTACGGTGGCCTGACAGCTTGCCAATGACAACACACGCCGCAGCATGGTGGCGGACCGATGAACTACCACCACCTGATGGTTACTCATCGATCCCATAATCGGGGCGAACACGCAGCGCCTCGAACGTGAATGGGAAAAATGCAAGCTGCGACTGATGTGGCTGAGCAAAGCGACGTCTCCAGCACTGGTGCCCGGACACCTTGCCGCCTTTTGATGGGCGTCCCTCAACGGCCAGACCAAGTGTGCGGACCCCTTCCTCCGACTCCTGGAGCTATCAGGCGCCACTACCCACAGGTGTAGACTGATGCCGATCTGAAGGAGCGGTACGGATCCGGAAAGAGCGGCCTGGGAACGTGTGACTCAACCGGAACATGTGATTGGTAATACCGATCTAAGGGGTGTGGCTGTGATTGCTTAATTTGAATCTGGTGCTGTGAAGTGTGATTAAAAGTTGTTAAGTATCCAGCTTTTATTTTAAGCTTAGCTACGAATATGACATTGATTAATTTGATTTCAAGTCGATACACGCCGACGTTCATGAGTATCTGTAATCCGTTACTGCGATTGTAAGCTTTTAATCTGAGATATGTGATTGTCAGTGTGACGTTGTCACTCAGTTGAACTGATAGCGAACAGATTTCAGATTTGATTGACATTTGATGACTGGTGTCTGATACGTCAATATAGGGAGTTTTGTTGCTTGTTTCCACGCATATTATCAAAAACCATTAAAATATAAACAAACTCAAGAAACTAGGTTGATGGGCACCGAAGCCACGTCTCCGAAGAGGTTGCCGACAAGGTGGAGGAACTTGGCATCGAGCTCATGTGTCTGCCTTCTAACACAACTCATGAGTTGCAGCCAATGGACAAAAGCTTCTTCAGTCCATTCAAGCGGTACTTCGACGACGAGGTGAGCAGCTCCATCAGACTTAACCCAGGGCAAGCGATCACGAAGGGTCCGACGTTTGAAAAGGTGTTTAGCGCTGCCTGCAGCCGTGCAGCCAAGCCCGACCACCCTGGTCAACGGCTTCAGGGCCACCGGGATGTTCCCGCCAACGCTAACAAGCATTCAAGACGACGCATTCGCTGCCGCTGAGGCCAGCGAGCGGCCAGGCAGGTCAGCCAACGATCCTGACATAGCTGACGGCATCTTCAATGATGCGGAGATGGAGAAGACAGCAGATGAAGGCAGACAGGATGCAGGAGCTGCGACCGGCGACGGAGACGGACCAGAAGTGTCAGCTGCTCGTTCCTCAAGTGCCTCCTCCCCAGCTGCGGGCTTCTCTGGGCCCGACCTGAACGGCAGCTTCGTGGAAATGATACCGACACCGAAGCACAAACGTGCAGCCAAGCGCTTTCGGAAGTCTGTAAATGCGGAAGGAGTCAGAGTGAAGAAAGAGCTGTTCGCTGGGAAGGAGAAGCAGACGAAGAAAACGGAGAAAGGTTCCAAGAAGTCTCAAAAAGAAGAAAACAATAAATCACACAAGAAGCCACAAGAGGAGAAAGGCTCCAAGAAGTCACAGAAAGGCTCTGAAGAGACGCATTCGCTCCCTTCATCATCAGATGACGTCACATGCATTTACTGCGGGATGAGGTTCCGCCTTAGCTGTGAAAAATGGATAAGATGGGAAGAGTGCCAGGGATGGGCATGTGTACCTTGTACCGATGCCGAAAACCAGCAGCGAGACTGGACGTGCCTGCGGCTAGGAGTGATCGCTGCCACTGCCGAGTGTTGTACAAACACCGTGAAACCAGGCTGGCACGGTCCGCCGACATCAAAACAACGGTGCGTCAGCTGATTATTGGTCCTCCGATTCAGGAGAAATTATTAACGCGGGAACGCCGGCGCTAAATAAAGGCGGTAGGATTCACGGCTTCGCATGATCGTGTGCAATGTTTTTTAATAGTATCAAGCGAGGGGTATTGCCGGAGTTTTGCAAATAAATATTTTGCTCTCAGTTTCGCTATGCGATCGTGAACACTTTATTTTCATAGATACGATATGAAATAGGATAAACAGGCCAAACCAAGGCTATGTAGGCCAACCTTAGACTTCGCATAGCCATGGACATTGCGTAGGAAGGTACTCGCCGATCGTACCACGATACCACGGGCAAGATATCAGACTTTTGGGAGTTTTGTGTCGCTGGAATGTATTTTAAGTGCTAAGAAGGAAAATAATTCAATTAAATGATGTCATGGACAATGGACGTGCCATTCCAAGCATATATTTGCCTGGCTTCGACAACCAGATAGCCAGGCTTATTTCACGGGTAGTGGATTTATCGTTTCTATTACATTTGATTGATAATCCTACATATCAGTAAAGCTGCCACGTTATCATTCTCGGCGAGCGATTACCGGCACATCGAACCAATGCCAATGCAGCGTCGAGCGTCCGATGGTTTACGATAGGAATTATAACAATAGTTTTAAACTAGCGCTTTTTAGAACCATGGACCGAAATGGTAATTCAAAGAACCTCTTCCCCTTTCAACTCACCTGAAAAAGCTGCTTTCGTGTACCACCCAGCAACCGTTTCGTAGATATATCAAAATGATAACTGGAGGTGAAGATTATCCTCGGCCGTGCCCATTTTGGAACCAACCCTGAGAGGCAAACTAGGCGGCGGGCACCGGGGCACCGTGCCCCCTTTACTTTTGGCATTTTAACATTAGCCCTATGGGCGTTGCACGGAAAGAATGTGACCAAAAGTCGGCAGTGCCCCCCCCCCCTTAATTGAAGGTGTTCTGCCGCTACTGCTGAGAGGCCGTGGCCTCGCTTTTAAAATCAATGCCTATTTTATGATCTACCACGATTCGTGGGGCTGACTAGTACCGACGGGGATCCCACAAACACGACGGTCACATTCATTAAGCATGATGTAGGTACGGCGTAAAGCACCACAACTCACTCCAAAGGCGCAACCTTCTGAGATATCTTATATTTAGTTTCAATGCTGGTACTGGTGCAGTTGCAATGCTGGTACGGGGACCAGCAGTTGCTACTCTACACGAATCCCTTGTCTAGCCGTCTGTCCTGTCCAGTAACAACCGATAACATTGATATCGACAACCGGTCCCTGTCAGGGTTGTGCTTGACTCATGAGTCGAGTCAGAAATTTGACTCAACTCTGACTCAAATGAGTCAGATTTGAGTCGAGTCGGACAAAAATATTAAGGTGTTGAGTTGAGTCAGAGTTGAGTCAGTAAAATAACTTTTGACATTGAGTTGAGTCAGGAACATTTAGGAACATGAGTCAGCTGACTCAACTTTTTAGAAACAATATATAGTATAAGTTTTTCATTCTCCCCCCACTTAACAACTTACGCCTGGCCCTGCTGCCGGATTTTTTCACCCCCCCCCCCCGCTCAACAACTTTTTTATCTGAGTCAATTTTGAGTCAACACACTTGACTCAACAAAAAATTTGAGTCAAGTTTGAGTCAACTCATATTTTCATTGAGCCGCTTGGGTCATGAGTCGAGTCAAGGGAAAAAATCAGCTCCTTGTTTGAGTCAGGGCATTCTGAAGTTGAATGATGAGTCGAGTCGGCAAATTTTTTTGAGTCGAGCACAACCCTGGTCCCTGTACATAATAAAAACATAAAAAAACATTGGGACACAAACAACTGGAAACTGTTCGTACTTTCGCGCATAGGCGGCGGAGCGGGGAGGGCACCGGGGCACCGTGCCCCCCTTTGATTTTGGCATTTTAACATGGGCTCTATGGGCGTTACATGGAAAGAATGGGATAAAAAGTCGGCAGTGCCTCCCCCCCTTCCCCTTAATTGAAGGTGTTCCGCCGCTACTGCTTTCGCGTACGTAATACAACGACGCTGGCAATCAACAAGTTGCAACATACGCCCGAGATAATAAGTTTCAGATAACAACGCCGGCCAAGAGGTGCGCCGTCCGAAAGCTCCAGTTGAGCTGGGCGCAGGTACTAAATAGGGAAATCCTACATTCATCTCGCCGCATTTAAGCGCACCAATCGAAAGACGACAGCGTGACCGCGCTGACAGGCAATCAACCTGGCCACATAAAACTAGCTAGTGCAAGGAAGATGTCTATATAAACCACTGGACCATGCAAAGTGTTCATGTAAATAAAATACGAGTAAAGATGACGCGTTTGAGGGCAGACTGGCCAAACAGTGGCGTTACACGCGGATCTCAACACTGCACAACCCATTCATCAAAAAAAGATCTCGTGGATCCCTATATACGTCATAACTGACCCTAGTACGAGCCATGGACATAAATGGCCGGCTTAAGGCACAGGATCCCAATTGTCATCCC